GTTCTGTCAAACTAGCGACACATTAGATTTGGAGACGAGCCGTCAACTCGTTCGGACGTGCTGTACTCTGTTCTATCTTTTCGCCACGTTTTCTGTCCTCAGTAATAATAAAGAGAATGTTCCTTGTTTTCTTAATTTGGTGTTCCTTTTATTCCTCCCGCGGCCTTCCGGTGCGCGTGCGCGAACGCGAGTGCGTCCTGTTGTCCAAAATAGGCTCCAATACAATGGCTACAACGGTTGTTCGTGGTGTTACGCTAACGGAAAATACTTGCGTGGATGTGTGCGTTATTTATTTTGTGACACTAATTGTGATTTGTCTCGAAGTCATGAAACCCATGTAAAAGACGTTATGGAAGCTCAGGAAATTAAAAAATCGATCAGAGGCGTAAAGGGTTGGGCTATTGTATTGAAATTACCTCATTTTAATGCAATATGGGGATTTCCATACGATTTTATGCACGGTACGTTATTAGGAGTACAAAAACAAATCGGAGAAAGTTGTACTATTCAAGGTTCTCCGATTTATTTAAATAAGACTCAGCGAACAGAAGTCAATAATCGATTAACAAGCATTACTCCAATCAAAGAAATTCAGCGTTTACCGAGACCTCTAAATATCCGATGTAAATGAAAAGCTTCGGAATGGCTTTCATGGGCATTATTTTACTGCTTACCTTGTCTACATGGTATTATACGATCTGACGTCCACGAACATTTGGCGCTATTAACAGGTAGTTTATTTATACTACTACAGAATAATATCACTGACAAAGAACTCCAAAAATGTGAAATAGATCTTCTTCGCTTCGTCGCAGATTTTGAGATATTATATGGCAAGGAAAACGTGACGTTCAATATTCACGCTTTGCTGCACATAGTAGAATCGGTACGAATGTGTGGACCATTATGGGCAACTTCCACTTTTAGTTTTGAAAGTACAAACTTCCATCTTAAACAACAATTAAGTGAGCCAAAGGGCGTTGACAGTCAAATTAGCAAAAAATATCTGCAGAAAAATTTGTGGAAGTGGTAAACAAGCAATAATATAAGACCAAAGTCTGAAATTTGCAATATTGTAAGCAATTATTCGCAGAGCGTAGGCATTGTAGCACAGATAAAGTTCTCGGAGATACGATTCTATTGGGCCTTGGTCGATACGGCGACGACGGTGTAATATATGAACGATTTATTTACAAACGTGATTTCTATCACAGTACTAGTTATAGGCCAAACAGAAAAACAAATGATTCTGTTGTTCAATTAATTAATGATGAATGCGCTAAAATAACAGCAATAATTATCATTGATGATCAATGTTATATTGATATTCGAAAAATGATTACAGAAAATGCATTTAATGTACCTCATATTTTTAAGGTCAGTGATTATAGTAAAGATATCATTAGAATTCCGGTGCATAATATCAAAAAAAAACTGTTATTAATAAAACATATAAACGCTACGTACGTATGTCGCATCCCTAATATACGAAACATGTAGATGTTTGCAACTCATTATATTCAAATATGTAACACAGTAAAAAGATTTTTTGTATTTATGTTGGAAACGATCCATTCATATTTTTGTTAAAGATCGGAAGAGCACACG